GGGTTCTCTTTCATGATTGAACACACTGATATTTTTTTATTTTTTTATTTAATTCTGTTATTTCACCATTTTTATTTTCCAATAGTTATTCCATTCGGCATATCTGTTCTTTCTTGAAATTTAATAGAAGGACCTTTATTAATTATTCAAAGATACAGTACTTGGACAAAAGTTTCGGAACACTTGTTTTTGTTAATTGCGCAAAAATGTACATAATAAACATATATGAAATTTATATAATTTGCGATTTAGGTCCTTATGAATATCTATACAAAATCCCATGTGTCTAGGTTCCGTAGAACTCGAATAAATACATAAAAATGAAATTCGATTAAATTTTGGCAATCAAAAATTTTTCACATGATGTTTTTAGAAATTGTCCAAGAACCTACATAATAATATGTTTTGGAAATTTTGTATATGAAAACCCAAGTTTTGCTGATTCTGAAAAAGTAATTTTTATCGCATATTTTTTAAGATCTTTTTTTTAAAAAAAGATCTTAAAAAGTTTTCAAAATTTTAAATTTCAAAAAAAATAAAAAATGTCTAATTTAACTGAAGCTCAATGTGGACAAATAGTTGGCCTTTATAAAAGTGGAGCCTCATATAGAAGTATTTCTAAAATACTTGGCTTTCCCACCACAACAGTATGTCGTACCGTGAAGAATTTTCAAGAAAGAGATAGTATGGCAGATTTACCAAGAAGTGGACGTCCAAAAATTTTAAATACTGACCATCGACAAGCATTAAAAAATATTGTTAAACATAACAACTGTAAATCAGCTGAACAGATAAAGAACCATTTTAATCAGGAAACTGGTTTACATGTTTCTACAAAAACTATTAGAAGAAGTTTACACAGAATCAACATATTTGCTTGTGTTCCTGCTTCTAAACCTTTGATTAATGAGCAACAAAGAATAAAACATTTGAATTGGTGCCTAGGAAAAAAAGATTGGAGTGTAAGAAAGTGGAAGAATATCATTTGGAGTGATGAGAGTAGGTTTACAATATTTAAGAATGATGGTCTGGGATATGTCTGGAGAACCAGATTCAATATTGAAAATCTTAGACCAACAGTAAAACATGGTGGTGGTGGCATAATGATGTGGGGTTGTTTTTCGGGTAAAGGATTAGGACCACTGGTAAAAGTTGATGGCAAAATGAACCGACATGATTATATTCAAGTACTGGAAACAAATTTGCTGTTCTTAATTGATAAAGATTTTAATGGGCATGGGTATTCATTTCAAGATGATAATGCTCCTGTTCATACTGCTAAAGATGTTCAAGAGTGGTTGAAAACAAACGAAATTAAAATATTGAAAAATTGGCCAAGCCAATCTCCAGATCTAAACCCTATTGAGCATCTTTGGCATGTGCTAGAAACACGTATTAGAAGTCGTCCTAACAATCTAAGAAATCTTAAAGAACTTGAGGCTGCTTTAAAAGAGGAATGGAATAAAAT